CCCATCAGCCATCCCAGCGCCCTGTCCCATGTCGCTCCGCCTTTTGCTTCTCCGACATTGTTTTCAGGTATTATTTGGGGCTTCCTTCCATCCCTTCCACACCGTATCCAGCCCTCACGAGCTCGCCTACGGTCATCTCCCCTGGCCCTGACCGCCATCCGCCAAAAAGAACCGGGGGCTGTCCATCATTGACCTGTAACCGAACAGCGAAATGGAGTCGCCTGGTTACAGGCGAATTATTCTCTGCTTGCAACGCGGACTAAGATGTGTAAGTTCGATACTTGCCTTTGACTGGACAACACGACTAGCCCCATGCTTGTTATGGCTGTCACCACCCACCCAGAGCCACTCAGTACCACGGTGGTTGCTCACGCATCACATCGTGAGCTATTCAACCCGGTCTGATCCACACCTGGTACAATTTGCTTGCTCGCCCGAAAGTGCGCGCGGAGTCGTCGCGTCGTAGGCTCATCTCGCCTCCTTCAACCGGCGCCAGACACGACACAGTCTGTTACCATTGAGTCGCAGGTCTACTACGAAGCACAAGCCTGGTCTCCGTATGTCTGGGGTCTTTCATTAGACAGTCGCCGTGTTTCGTACCGAAAATGGGTCTGCTCTGGCCTTGTGGCGCTTCGTTTACCTGAGATGTGGTTCTCGCCCCCCCTTTCGGCCGTCTTTTCAAGACTCCCTTTTTCCACTGTTGGCGGCCGCTTGCACGACTACTACATGCTTTTTCTTTATTCCCCATCCCTCCAACAAAAAGACCGACGGGGCAATAATACATTTTTGTCATTGCCACAGATCCCTGCCGCCATCCAGATGACGCATGCACCCTGCAACTAACCAATCCTTTCAACGTCTTTTCAAGTTTGTCCTCAGTCAAGCCGCCGACCCACCCCATCACCTTTCTCTCCTCCGCTCTCGTCGTCGCTTTTATCTGGCACTTACGGTAAATCTGCTAACTAATAACGAACATAAACAGAGTCTGATCGAGCAGGGTACAAAGCCACTCGCTCATTTATCCCTCGCCGCAGAGTACGGAGTACTTTTTGTTTTAGTCCGCCCATCCATCCCATATTTTGACTGCCCCCATGCACATACGTACCCACGTCCACAACCACAACCAAACAACCAGACACACACCCAAACCCGGACCCAGACAACTTACACGGCCAAAACACCTAAAACATCCAATATGCCTAAACAAAGCTCACATCCTCTCTCCAGCACCCGCCCTCGTACCAACGTTGCGTTGTGCCTTTGCCAGATGCAACTGAGGAGGGAGTACGGAGAACTTTGGCAAGGTGTTTCTGTGTTTCCGTTGGTACCTTTCTAATATCTGACCTCCCCATGTTACCATGTCTGTGGCCGCGTCCAAGAGTCAAACATGGCCCCGTTTCTTGTCTAATACACGGCGCTACTCGCTACTCCGTATTTCTGCCCTTCCGTGCCAATATGACTACTGTCCACTTGATGTGCAGGCTAGCCTTGTCATGCTTGGTTGACTTGTTTTGGTATTTGCCCATGGCCCTTCACTTTCTTTTTCCTCTTTCGTCTTCTTTCCCTTTTCGTTCGTTCTTCCTTTGCCATTCCATTCCACTTTGTTTCTTCGCTTCGAGGCACACCCTCTGTCTCCCATCTCCCACACCCCCCCTTCTTCCCCATCATAGGTGGAGTTCGTCAGGATGATATTTAACAATAGCTCGCTGCCATCCTTTCTTAGACTTACCACTGATGAACATATCAAAATTCAACACGACCCAGATCGCCGATATATCATAGCAAGGCGGCCACTTCTCGCCTCTTCCCTCGTCCCTACTTGACCCTTCACCATCATATTCCCTAAAACCGGACTGCCTCTCAACAACCTCACAATACATTTCTCTTCTCCTCTTCCTCCTCTTCATATTCCTCGTCATATTCTTCTTAACCGCCAACATGATGTCCTACGCGTACGGCAACCCGTACGTAAACATGCCCCAAACCACATCAACAATGCAGCCAATGCAGCAGCCACAACCACAACAATCTCAACAATACCAGCTATCAACATTTCACCACCAGTCGAACGATACTTTCCTCGAGAACCTTTCCCGCCAACTGGCATCAGTTTCGTCGACCTTGAGAAGACGGCACTCACGATCCTCTCACTACGGCTCAAGGACACCGGGCTCTGCGATGCGCATCACCAAGCCTAGCAGTGCCAACAACAGCCCACAGGCATCGGTCATGATGCAGGCACGGAAACGCATGGCCCACGATGTCAGCTTGTACGGCAGCCCGCAATGGGTTCCCCAGCAACTGGTCACTGCCCCGGACTACCTCGCCATCAACCACCGCTACGATACGTCTGTCGAAGCCGCAGCATCTCGTCCAGCACGGCCAGTCAGCTGGCATCCGAGCAGCTCATATTTGATGCCCAACCAGCTACAGGCGCAGCAGCAAGTTCCCCTGTCTCTGGCGACCAACTTTCAGATGCCCGCCCAGATGTCCGCCTACGCCACGCCTGCTCTCCCGGTTGCCGATTACGAGCCCTTTCCGGCCATGCAGCCGTTCGCCCTCAGCCCGTCCGCCTATTCGAGCCAGACATCGCCGTCCACGGCCTTCTCTCCCTACTCGAGCAACCTGGACAACACCACCGCGGGCCATTATTACTCGCCTAATCCGTGGGCACTGTCGCCTTCTGTCAATGCCAACGGCGCTCTGTTTGACAAACTGCCGTCACCGGTTGACTGCCCGGCCTTAATCACGGCTGATCCCCATTCGCAACAGGACCAGCAACACGAGCAGCGCGAAGTGCCTGCCAACCAGAACCAGGTCTACCAGGATGAGCAGGCCCAGAATGTCCACAACCAACCCGCAACGGAGACATCCACCTCGACGGAGTGGAACAGCTTCGCAACGCACGGTTTTGCGGCCCCGCGGACACCGCCAGACAACAACTGCTTCTCCGCGGCTGAGCCGTCACAGGCACGTATCCCCAGCGACGGCAACATTGTCACCTGCCAGGAGCAGGACGACGAGCAGCCCGAGGGTGAGATCCTCGTGGGCATGGGCCTGTACGATCCGCCTGAGAAGGAGGTCATGGACCCGACTCTCCAGAGCTACCGCTCATCGGTTGCTCAGCTTCTCGGTTCGGCATACAAGTTCCCCGAGCCGACTGGCAAGGGCCTGAAGCTCGAGGATGCTTGGGAGCCTCCTGAGAACCTGGACGACGACGATGAGGAGGATGGCAACGAGAACGACGACGACCGCGATGCTGAAGGCGAGGACCAGTAGACGGTTAACCAATCGTCTTGTGTTATCAACCAACATCGTCTGCACTTTTTTTTCACCAACTACAATTACCCAAGCGCCATTCATTTTATCGGCAACGATACAAAAAACACATTTCCTTTGTTTTTCTAATGACGACCGCATACGACAATGGCATCCTAACGAGTTTCTTACTTTTATCTTTTTCGGGTCTTCGGCTTCACGGGTCAAGGGGATATTAGAAAGCAGGGCGCTTCGCAGGGGACATACAGGATATTTGGGAGGACAATCGGCATACAGAAATGACTCTTCGCAGAGCATGGGCCAACGTCCAGGGCTTTTTTCTGTGCTCTTGTTTTGGATTTCTGGGAAATCATTTGTTTTTACTCTTCGGTTGGAAAAGTACACGGAAGCCTTTTCCATTATTATTTTCTTTGTTTTAAAGAGCACAGAAGCGAGCGGGCATATAGCGTTGTCTTTCTTTTCTTCTTTTTTATTCCGGTTTTCAATCGTGGAAGTTCCAGGCATTTCCAAGTTTTTAATTTTGTTGATACAGAGATACCCATTTGGAGATTTAACATTCCCATATGAAAACAAAGAGAAGACCATCCTTTTTTAAACTTGCACTATTATTCCACTTTGTGATCATGCATGTGCGTGGCTGGTAAAGCATATGTGCCTGGGAAACAGAAAGGAAGCACATGTCAAGAAAAGGAGAAAACCAGCAAGAGAACACAAATGGGGGGAGAAAGAGAGAGACATGTGACGCTTTCGTTCAGGGTACAGTGACTTGGTGAGAAAGGACGCCAAGGTGCTATTCGTATCCATCGTCGTGATTCTCCTGCTGGTCCTCATATCATGCTAAGGAGTTACACTTTGTGAAGCTCATGAGGTCCTTCAGCTATCCCTTTCGAGGCGATCAAGAAGAAAAAAAAAAGAAAAAAAACAGAGGTTCAGATGTTGTTTCCTGTGTTTAGATTCCCCACCCCCTTTTTTGGCATGGCACTTTTTGCACGGACCACTTTTTATTTTTATTTGGGTTTGGGGGACCTCTCTCCCTTGGCTGGTTCTTTTGTTTCACTTTCTTCAGTCTCAAGGGCCCTCTGCCTGTGTGGGGTCCTCGTTCTCCTTCTGGTAGAAAATCTGCTCTCCTCCGAAGCAGAGCCGCCCCGCCGTCCTGTTGTTCCCAGGCGTCCCAGGGGGTCAGAGACAGCCCAGACAACCCAGACAACCCGAAAGACAGAGAAAGGCCTCTCAAAATCAACGACCGAGACCGAAAACTGGGGCCCAGGTCCCGTTTGGTCTAGCCCTTTTGCAGCACCTTTTTCCACTGAAAAGTATGGAGCACTACAAAACACACCCCCCCTTCGACAGGCACCCCCACACCCTCCCCTGGCGTCGTCGTTCTCGTTTTCTCGTGCACTCAACAGGTGCGTGCTGAGGGCTGTCGATTTGTTCGAGTTTATCCACGGCATCAGATGTCATCGTCTCAACTGTCCACATTTGTTGACAACAAAAAGTAAGATATTAATTGTTGGAGAATTACGAGAACGTGAGTAGAAATTCATTCAAAAATTGTAACATTTATTTGAAGTCTATCAATTTTATCAAGAAAATATGTATAAATACGTGAATAAAATACGTAGAATATAAAAAACCACTACAAATCTACAAAGCATTGCAAAAGGCATGCACCAAAATGACGACAAAAGCTTCAACGTTTTCCTATACCGAACAAACACAGCCTAAACCAGTCCCTGGAATCCGTCTATCTGGATTTTGCGTGTGGCCAGGTCAACAGCAAACGCGAGTGCTGCCCTGGCTGTGTCATCGCTGACGGCCAGGTGCGGGCTTCCCTCCTGTACGCTTAGTGAAACCAGTTTGTACAGAATGCCGGCCACAAATGTATCGCCAGCGCCGACCGCACTGCCCTTCGTTAGCATACGAAAGTAAAACCAATCCGAGTTGGGGGGGTTGACATAGTAGCCGGCCCCGTAATACATACTCGCAACCTTGGCCNCGGACCGGCGATGCCGGACAAGACACGACATGGTCCCCTGACCCCGGAGCGAGCGCCGAAGCGCCCTGCGCACCCCATGTGCAGAGAAGCAGTGAGCTGAAAAGGCGGGCAGTTAGAGCGCGACTGGTCAAACATGGAAGAAAAGGAGTACTGTACAAAAAAAACATACGCTTGAGGTAGCGACGCGGCTTCACCACGAAGGCAGGCTTCAGCACTGTCGTATCCTTGGTCCTAGACGAAGAGGTCCGTCAGCACAAGTCCGCCATGTGTCGAGCGCTGGCATTCAGGGCCACTCACCTCGGCCCAGGATTTGGAGTAAAAGACAACATCGGCCATGGCGGCCAGGTCTCGCAGTCCTTCGCGGCCGGGCTTCTCCACCTCCACACTAATGACTATGTCGTTGCTTGCGTCGCGCCTCGAGAGGAGATGCCCGATGCACGCCAAGGTCGTCTCGGGGATGCGGCCCTCGAAATGCCACCAGCTGCAGACGGTCGACGACGTGTGGCTTGAGGCGGTGGAGGCGGTTGCGGGGGACGTCTGGCGGTCAAAAAAAAGGACGGCCACCGCCAGGAACTCGTCCGCCGTCATGTCCGGCAGGTCGCTGTGGTTGACAATCGTGCGCGAGCCTGTGGCGGCCGACCGCAGGACGTAGCAGCTCGCGGGTGCCATGTGGCCGTCGCGGTACAGGCACAGATCAAGGTTGGGCCGGCGGGCCTCCGCCTCCCGGTCGACGCCAGCTGCGGGGCGAAACGAGCCTGCGATCATGGCCGTCGCCGGCGCATCGCGCGCAGGGAGGCTCGCGATCAGGTAGGTGGCCACATCGGCGTCCTCGTCTGCGCCTGGTCCGTTCGCGCTCTTTGGCGGCTGCAGCAGCTGCAGCAGCACCTCGATCGAGTTGGGACAGTTGCCGCCACGACGGATCTGGCAGGCTGTTGCGCGCAGCTTGTCGTCCTCGCCAGGAAATCGGGGAATGCTGTTGACGACGGGTCAGTGGAGGTGTTTGGATGCTTCGAAGCTTCCAAGAGCCTTCGCTGTTGCTCGCACCTTAAGATTGTGTCGACGTAGCATGCCCCGGTGAGAATGAGGTGCTTCATCGTAAAGCGAAATGGCCCCGAAGCCTACACCATGTGGGCGAAACTGGTGACGCTTCTCGTTCTTCACATTTCACTGGCTCAATGTGTATGGAACAAGATGGTCTTTTCCGAGACATGCCACCAAAGTTGGAGACCTTCAGTTTGGCTGGGACTTTTGGCTACGCCTTCGATATCGATGTGGACGAAGACAAGGAAAGAGCTACATTTGCATGTTGTTACCACGTGCGCGCTCCTTCTCTTCTCGTATGACTTTACTTGTTATTTGTATGTGTACAGGTGACGTTGAGGAAGTTGCGACTGTGAGAGTTGATAACCTGAGATAAACCTAAGGCAGCTGCGACCCTGTGCCGGCTACACAGATGCAACGGATCACTAATCCCGACCACTAACAGCGCTGTAATTGCGGCTGAGCCACACAGAAGCCTTCGCCTTACAGCGGTCTGGACGTATCGGACGTATGACGTCTGGCACTGGGAGCTTAATGCCGGGCGAGTCCGCGGAGGGGAAACGGAGCTTTAAAAGCGGAAGGAGCTTCACGATCGCGCTTTACGCGAGAGCAATTGCACAATCAACCCTCTGCAGCTATTTCCCCTCATCGCCCTCATTGCTCTTCTGCTGTCCCTCCCGAGTTACGCAGCACCATATCGCAGACGCAGAACCACGCAGAACCGACGCAGTCGACGCAGCCGACGTAACGTCGATACACCTTTCGCCTACCGGCCCCACCATCAATGTTCGCGGCACGCACGTTCCGACCACTCCTCCAGCAAACCCGCAGAAGTCTTGCCGCCAGTGTATGTGCATCGCCGTTCATATCTATACTGTCTCTGTCCCTTCTTCTCCAGGAAACTGATAGACAGCAGCAGCGCGTACCCGTTCGCAAAATGCAGATCCAGTCGATCCCCATGTGTAAGTTGGTGGTGAGAGGCGCCGAAAGGACAGAGTCTGGGTGCGCCTCCGGGATGTCGCTGATATTTTGCAGGGGTCGGCAGCAGCGACAACTATGCCTATCTGGTTGTCGACGATGCCTCCAAGGACGCCGTCATCATCGATCCGGCACATCCGGAAGAGTAAGTCGATGTCGGAGGGGGAGCTCAGAGAGTACCCCCGGCAGCATATACTGACAATTGCAACACCGAAAACAGGGTCGCACCTGTTCTCCAAAAGGCCATTGATGCCGGCAAGATCAACTTGACGGCGATTGTCAACACACATCAGTGAGTGGCGACAGCGACCAGACGTATCTTTTCATGGCAGGGTGATCCAAGCTAACCGCGACAGCCACTGGGACCATGCCGGTGGCAACACCAAGTTGGTAAGATGCCCTCCTTCCACCATATCTGGAACGCACCGCCCGCTAACAACGGCAGCGCGATCTGCTCAAACTCCCCGAGCTGCCTATTATCGGCGGCAAGGACTGCCAGGCCGTCACCCAGACACCCGCCAACGGCAACGGCTTCAAGCTCGGCAAGGCCATCGCCGTCCAGGGCCTGTACACGCCCTGCCATACCCAGGACAGCATCTGCTGGTACTTGCAGGAGGGCGACAAGCGCGCCGTCTTTACCGGCGACACTCTGTTTCACGGTGGTAGGCAATTTCCTAGTACGCCTCTCTTTCCTGTGAATCTTGTGCTGACCGTGCCTGCTAGGCTGCGGCCGCTTCTTTGAGGGCTCGGCTGCCGAGATGCACAAGGCGCTCAACGAGACGCTCGCCAGCCTGCCGGACGATACGACTGTTTATGTGAGTCTCGACCCGCCACAACACGTGCTGCCAGCCTACACACCTACATACCTGCATGCTGACCGTCCCAGCCCGGCCACGAATACACAAAGGCCAATGTCAAGTTTGCCATCTCCGTCCTGCCCAGCGACGCCGTCAAGAAGTTGAAGGCGTTTGCCGACGAGCACAAGGAGACCCAGGGCCAGTTCACCATTGGCGACGAGAAGGAGCACAATGTGTTTATGCGTGTCACCGACCCTGAGATCCAACGGGCTACCAGCGAGTCGGAGCCCGTTGCCGTCATGGCCAAGCTGCGGGAGATGAAGAACAACTTTAAATAGATAACGGTAGAGGTGAGCTGCCCGATGACGACGTGATGAGGATGAAACGACGTGATGAAGTGAAAGGAAATCCAGAAAGGTTAAAAAGGGGGCAGGAAATCGCATCTCTCTCAAACATTATATTGGATGTATTGGATGTCTCTTTTCTTGGAAAGGTGTACAATAATAAAATTCATCTCAAACACAGAATCTTTCTCATTTTTATGAGACTAGACATATTGGCGATGGAGGTTTATTGCTGTGATATTAAACGCATAAGATATATTGACGCCTTGATATCCCGGACTGGTGATAATAACTTGACTTTTGTAGTAGCAACTGACAACGAAAGACCCGGTTTCAAGAAACGAAAACGTGAGAATACAACCAAATGATGTATGGCGGAAAGCAAATGCAAAAAAAGACTACATAACGCCCAAGTATCCCAATACACAAGAGGAAAATCGAGACAAACCAGAGAAAGAACAAACAGAAAAAAACAACCAACTCTCGGCAAGCCAAAGCCAAAAATGAGCAGACAAAAAGAGGACAAAAAAACGCAAAGACCCAAGTAAAAGTACATCACAGCCCCCTTTTACTATCGTCCCCGCTTACTCGCTGTCGCTGTCGTCGCCGCCCTTGGACGCGGCGGCTGCGGCCTTCTTGGCCTTCTTCTCGGCCTTGCGCCGCTTGCGCTCGGCCTTCTCCTCGGCCGTCTCGTCGCCGTGCTTGGCCTTGCGCTTCTTCTCCTTGTCCTTGTCGTCGCTCTTGGCGGCCGTCGCGGGCGTGGTCATCTCCTTGTCCTCCTTGTCCTCCTTCACCTCGGCGACCTTGGCCGGGGTGGCCGGGACCGCAGCGCCGTCCTCGAGCGGCTTGTTGTAGTCGACGTAGCCGGCGGTCCACTTGGCCGGGGTGGCCTCGTTGGTGCGGCCAAACTTGTCGAGCTTGCCGTCGGCCTTGAGCTTCTTCTTCTCGGTGGCGACGGGGCCGAGGCCCCAGCGGCGCGGGTACAGGTCGCGCTCCATGATGCAGCGCTTGACCTTGGCCACGACGCCGTGGTCGCACGTGCTCATCTCGACCGTCGACATCTGCGCAATGCCAATGGCAATGGCCTCGCCCTTGGTCGTCATGAGCACCACCTCCTCGTGCAGCTCGATGCCCGACTCGTAGCGCAGCAGGCCCGGCAGCATGAGCTTGGCGCCGTAGCAGACGGCGTTGACGGCGCTGTCCTTGACGACGAGGCGCTTGTACGACGTGAGGAGCGACTCGAGGGGCTGGATGATCTGCCGCAGGTACGACTCGTCGCGCGTGTTGTCGTAGAGCCACTGGGCGTCGAGGACGTCGTGGAGCGTGACGAGGTTCTTGGTCTCGTCCATGGCGCCGGAGCGGACACGGCGCAGCTCCTGCATGTGCGCGCCGACGCCGAGCAGCAGACCCAGGTGCACGCAGAGCGTCCGCATGTAGGTGCCGGCTTCGCAGGACGCCCAGAAGACGAACAGCCCGCGCTCGTTGTCGAACTCAATCACCTTGGACTCGTAGATCTGTACAGCTAGGTTAGGACGCGCGGAACGGTGAGGAATGGCGAGACACTGTCGCCTGTCACAAAATGGCGGAGCAAAAAAACATACACTGCGGATACGGAGCTGGCGCTTGACGGCGGAAATCAGCGGCGGGCGCTGGAACAGGGCACCGGTCAGGGTCTCGAGGGCACGCGCGACCTCGGGCTCTCCGCCGGCCACCTTGCCGTGCAGGCGTGCGATACAGACGTACTCCTTACCGGCACCCTGCTGCGACTTAACGAGGCGCGTGGCGCGGTCGACGCAGACAATCAGACAACCCGTCACTTTGGGCTGTTATTGTTGTTAGCGAGATGTTAAAACGTTCTATTGTGACAGCAAAAGCAGGAGGGTAGAAACATACGTCAAGGGTACCAGAGTGACCAGTCTTCTCGACACTGTAGGGAAGCAGTCAGCTGTTGTCCTCTTTTTGGCCAGCACGTGGTGTATGTGTATATATCAGCTGCGCCGTGGCTGGCGCCTCGAAACGGCATTGGTACGCACCGGAGAATGCGCTTGATCCAGGCAACGACTTCGTGACTCGAAGGATTCGACGGCTTGTCCAGGTTGATGACACCGGAGCTGATGTACGACTTGAGGTCGCGACGCAGCGGCGCGCTGCCGTGGGGGATGGGCGTGAAGTGACCGGTGCGGATTTGCACTGTTTTTATTGTTCAATCTAGTTAGATGTGTTCCAATGGTCAACGGGACCGAAAGGGCCAGGGACAAAGACGACTCACGCTTCTCAAAGTTCTTGAGCAGCAGCGGCCAGTCGTTGGTGTCGACCGCCGCCGCCGAGGCCTGCGGCTTGATGACCTGGTCGTCCTTGTCGTCCGCAGACATGTTGGCGGAAGACGTGTAAAAAAAGAGGAGGAAAGGAGGGAGGTAAAAAAAAGAGTCGAGTATATATTGACCGTCTCGAGATGTGCCGTGTCGTCGCGTCTCGTCGGGGAGGAGGTCGGCCGAGGTCGTCGTTGTTCGTGAACAGGCGTAAAGGTAAAGAGAGACAGCTCCTAACAGAAACTTTTGCGAAAGGCTCGACTTGAAAAAAAAGTTCACAGCTAAACGGACTGAAAGAAAAAATGGCTGCTGGTGTGGAAATAAGCGGGGATTTTGCAGATATTGGAGACTGTGATTGGTTACATACCAGTTGAGCGATAAGATAAGAGATCTGCTAGCGTGGACTTCACCAGCCACAAAGTACAGCCACAGCAAGTGCTGTCGATTTGTTGACTTGTCTAGTCGTTTCGTCAAGTCTTTCAGCCTTTCAAACCTTAAATGCTGAATTCAAACAGTTCAAAACCATCAGAATTTAATAAAAGTATCATGTAAGTGACATACATATATATATATAAATTTCGCATTTATTGCAGATGCCTGAGAGGCTGTGACGAGAGACCGCGATGCACTATGCACGGCCGCTTGCAACGAACAAGAAAAAAGCCCTGTGAAGGTGACTAAGACCAGACCCAACAAATACATAAACCAAGTTGGTGTCAAAAGAGGTATCTCGAACCGAAACAGAAAATATCAAAAAGACCAAAACAATGAGAGGCGCTCATTAGATAAAGGATTGTATGTGGCGCAAAGGCCGAGTTCATAAAAAAGGAAAAGAATCACCCTATCCAACAAGAGAAAGAATAGGTTAATAAAGGTCATCACATGGCATGGCCATGCCTTGCGTCTTCTTCTGTCAGGCCGCCGTAGGGCAACTGCGGGCTGTACGGCGACTCCATCTGTGGTGATGGTGGCGGCGGGTAGTATGGAATCGCTCGCGGTGGCTGCAGTGTGGGTGCCGGTGGTGGCTGCGGTTCTGCAATTTGTGACTGCTCCTGCGTCACGGACGGCCTTCGGAACGTCGAGAGAATGATGCTCTCGTTGTCGCTCGGCTCGCTCGCCTGCCGCGTGCTCGACGACTTCTTGCTACTGCGGCGCGTCTTGCGCTTGGACGACGACGACGACGGCTGCTCCCACAGGGCACCGGCCGACACGGACAGCGAAGACAGCGACGACGGCGACGACGACTCGTCGTGCTGCGCCGGCGACTGCTGCCGAAGTGCGGTCTGTGTCGGCGCCTGTTGCAGCGGCGGCGTCGGGAAGTCGTCGACATCGACGGCGGACTTGGCGCCGGCCGACCCTTCGAGGCTGACGTTGGAGTTCTTGCTTCGCAGGCTCGGGTCGGCGCCGCCAAGAGCAACGCCAATCTGTGCCAGCTCGTACTCGTGCGCCATGCGCTCAATCTCCTCCTGGGTGTACCCGGGCGGCCACGGCTTGCGGCCGTTCGCCCCGGAGCTGCTCCCTGGCGATCCATCGTGTGCATCGTCGGCGACAGGGCTGACCGAGCGCAGACCAAGCGCATAGTGCCGGCCACCCGAGCCCCCATTGGGGGACGAGCTGCTGCCGGCGGCGAGTGTGTCGGTCATGGATGCCATTGTGGGCCATGCAGCGTATGGTGGGCCTTCCTCGGCGCTGACGGGGCTGTTGTACTGCGAGTTGTACGGGGAGAAGTAGCGAGGGAAGAACCCGCCGTTCTTCTCGGCCATGGTGGACGCAGACGTCGGCGTGTCGTCCCAACCGCGTAGCGGCTGCGCGCTCGTCGGCGTCGAGAACTTCTCATGCGCCTTGCTGCCACGGCCAATATTGGGCGAGGGCCAACCGTCGCCGCTGCCGCCGCCCACGACACCGCCATTACCTCTGTTGCGGTAGCGGGCTTCGACGCTCTTCAGGTAGGCGCGACGGCGACGGCGGCCAAGGCACACAATCATGACGCCGGCGAAACTGAGGAGGAGAACCAGGCCGCCAATGGCGATGCCTACTTTGCCTCCGAGAGAAATGGCGGAATATGCAGGCGTGTAGGTATACAGTGGGACAGCCGACGGCGTGGTGACGTTCATCGGGATGGTAGAGAATGGCGTTCCAGATACGCTCAGCGTAATCCCGGCATTGGGCTTTTGGATACAAGCAGCGTCCAGAATGGTGACATAATTTTCCATGAATGAATTTGAAAATCCAGAGCCGAGACAGGCTGTGCACTTGGGGACCTGGACCTCGATCCACCCATCGCAGTAGCCGTAAGGAGCGACGTCCACGGTTAGATTTTCATAGTTGAACGAGTCCTCAAGCATGCCACAGGCGGGACTTTGTGTTGTTAGCTATGAACCGTGACTTGCAGCGAAGGAACAGAACGCAGGGAGACATACCTGGTGACGCAAGGAGAGCCTGCGACGTTGGTGTTGTTTTCGAGGCCAAAGAGGCAGTATGAAATTGTGTAGCGAAGGTTGTCTGGATTGTTAGAAGAGCTGATCGGGCAGTGCGTACTTTAAACCGAGAAGCATATACTCACACAGTAGGTACTGCAAGTCCGAAACGTTGCCAGTCGAGTAGGCGCTCTTGAGTTCGCAGTTGATACAGGACTCAAAGACGATGCCGGCAGAACTCGACGAGTAGAGGCTGTCATCACAGGTCATGTCGGAACCCGTAGTAGCCGACAGGACGTTTCCGCAGTATTGCTCGCATGGCGAGTTCGGTGCGACGAGCAGGGCCGTGGCCGGGCCGACCAGGGCCCCCGCAGTGACAAGGGCGAGTTTGGACGGCCACATTTTGGGCCGAATTTGTCAAGGACGACAAGGAAGGCGGTGATGCGTAGATGGGCAAAAGTCAAGAAAGAAGATCCAAGATATCGAGACGATGGACAGTCTTTCTCGAGGCTTTACAAAGTCTCCAGCATAATGGCGGGGATTGGACCTGGGAAGAGAAACGGGCGTAGAGGGGAAACACGAGTGTGTAGGACAGAGAGGAAAGCCTCTGATCGTCGTCGGCCTTTTGGATCCTTCTCCACGTTCCTTCGGTAGCACAATCAGTTTCGTTGTACAACCTTCAAAATTTTTATAAGCCCAGGATCGAATGGCGGCGGAGCAATATATAAGGCTGGAAAAATATGAGCTGTGGTACGAGGTGTGCGTTCGTGATTGCGTGGCGTTCGAGGTGAGAGTGTTGCAACGTTCGTTTTGTGGTAGACCGTTCACGGAGTTGCAGTCCTTTTGTGAGACGTTCTCCGTGATTGGCGTGAAGAAATCGGGGTCGCAGGTTGCCGGGCGTGTAAAAAAGGGAGATATTCACAAGATATGGAACCGTAGAGCCGGTAGCAAAACCAGGAGCAGGTGAAGGGAAGACAACAAAGAAGATTGGAACCAAGAACGGACAAGTGTGAAAAGAGTCTCAGGGGAAAGGGGGAGAGAAGGAGGTGGAAACAACGTTGTGTGATCCAATATCCGCCGATGCACGACAGGCAATGGCGAATTGAGAATGGAGAGCAGAAGTTGAAAGATGGAGAGAGCTGTATTGCGGTGACGGAGAGAGAGTAAGCGCCAGCTGCAGTGATTGATATATGTGATGTACAATGGCGTCGTATGTGAATCTCCAATGTTACAAGTGTGGACCGTTTTGAGCGCGTGTAAACTGCCTGGGAACTGTTTTGAACGTGCGACAGAAGAACTTGTGATGGAGATGCAGCTCGAACGAGGAGAAAAAGCGCGTTGCAATCGTTTTTTGAATGCCGAAGCTTATCGTCTAGGGATGAACCGGCCGGGAGAGTTTAGTTTTTGGTTTCTGGTCGTCGAGAGTGGAAAGCGATTTGGGGGCCAGCGGCTGCGGTAGAATTGGCATCAGAGGAAAAAAAGAGTGAAAAGTCATAAACTGGTAGGATAAGATCACGGAATAGAGAGAAATGCGACGCAAGGAGTGGGAGGCGGACAGAGAAGGCAAGATGTGGAAGTGTACGTGGGAAGGTGTGACGAGATGGAGAAGTGACAGAGCACCGACGAGTGCCGGCAAGTGGAGAGAGCACAGACAGACAGCTGGAGAGATAGACACAGGCCAGAGAAACAGCAGAGTGTGAAGCGAAATGCAAACCAAAAAGCCCAGCCGGCCTTTTTTGGTCAAGCACAACGACAGGGGCTTTTGAGTGAGATGGCCGTTGTTCTCTACAGCCGAATTGGTGTATCTTTAACGGTGTCTTGCCGTGCAGATGGTTGGTCCTGTTGGATGTGATTGGGGTCCAGCATGAGGGCTAAGTGGTAGGAAGGTAATCTCAGGAGCAGAAAAACACAAACATAACAAGAAAGATGAATGGCCAGTGGATCCAAGTCATGAGAAATGGTAAGAAAAACTTGTGGCTTTGTGGTCGAATCGGGGGCCGTCTGATGCTGTGCGTCGAGGTGAGGGGTGATGCAGAAGACACATGTGGAGGATTGAAGGGTATGTGAGAGTATTGTTGTGCAGGATGCAGGATGCAATATTTGAGGCTGTGAGAGAGGGCTGAGGCTGTCTGCTGTAAGACTGCTCTTTCCTGTTTTTCAACCTGTCAAGATGCATAACATTGTGGTGAGATGGACTTGGAAGTAGGCCCAAGAAGTGGCAAGTGCAAGAGAGAAGAAACAAGCAGTCATGCGCGAGCCATAGCGTGTCGGGGCCGATTGCGATTTCCGGCTGGGCCAACAAGCAAAATACGGTGCAGGGCTTGTCCTGGCCTGCAAAACGATGGCCAAAAGATGGGCACACCACCCCAGCTCGGAGCGCACCTTGGATGCATCCCTTGCTTGGTTTCTGGCCCGTTTCTCTCACTGCTGGCCTCGCTTTACTTCGTATCACTGTGTCCTCCCCTCATTGCCATGTCATATTGGCATGGAGCAGGGCCAAGCATCGACACAGCAAGGAAGTGGAAAGGGGGCCCACGAGAGGGCCATCGTTGCAAACCGAAAAGAGCAGAAGAGGCAACCACCTGGCCGCAAAGACGGTCGGGGAACTCGACAGCTGCACTGAGGGCGACGGGATGACGATGCTTTGTGAGGCGGGTTGGGTGGTTGACGTCCAGTGGTGTGTGTGGTGGGTTGTGGTGTTGATGATGGCTTGTCTGGACAGGGGTTGTTCTTTTGCTCGGCGGCTAGAGGTGTGCTTTGGTGTGCTACGGCTTGTGATTGGCTGGGAGATGCTGTCGAGCACCTGCATATCGTGTCCGATGCTTCCTTCCCTCTTTTCCGCTTGTCCTTTCTCGGACGGCCACTGGTCCCTTCTTCTCCGAAAGGAAGGAAAGAGCATCTGGTTCTCCCCACGAGTAAAGGCTACAACCAAACGAGCGCTCTTTCCGTTTTAGAGTGCGATAATTTGCAGGAAAGTGCGATGCTCTGGTTGTACCTTCTACCTTTGCACCTACGGTTCCTGCCCCAATCCCACCCATGCCACCTTAGCCCTTCCACTGTTCCTTCCCACAATATCCCTGCTAGCCTCCATTGTCTTTCTCAACCACTGGGCGGCCCGAGGTGGCCATGATCCACACTGGTGTGGGGTGATTTCCCTTATTCCTTGCTGCCCATCAAGTCCCGTTCTTTTCTCTCTTTTCTTTTCACCTCTGACTTCACACACAAGACCCCGGTTCAAGCTTTTCAGCACCCATTCGCCTCCTTTACATCATCACAGTTGTGACAACCAGACGTCAGTGCCGTGTCGCCATTCGCCAGCACATAGTTCGTCACCTTCGACGTTTTCCTCATGCTTCACCTTCGTCTGTTAATTGTTTCCGATGCAATCTGCTCCATGAGGAAAAGTGGACAAAGGGGTATGGAGTACTGATAAATGCGCAGCTGCAGGTATGCAGTTGGATTGAGAAATAGCGCCATCGGCAGCAAAATAACGGCTCGTTGAAGTGATTTTGGCCCCCAAGCGGGAACTAAACAACTCACTAAAAGTACGTTGTCAACAACGATTCGTATTTGCTCTCTCTTCTGTTGCCTACCGCACTTTGCGCACGTTCCTCTGGTCTCTTCCAAAACGTCCCTTAGTCGTCACTTCTCTCTCTGTCTCTCTCTGTTTTTTTTTGTTTTTGTTTTTTTCCCTTCAGATTTTGTCTATGAGAAAAAGTACACGTCTTATTTGCAGCTCCACTACAGTCACCCAAGCTTTCTAAAATATGGGCAGACACAGACTTGTTTTGTTTCTCACGGGCTTCTTAGGCCGTTTTCTTACCCGACACTCGGACAACATGTTTCAAATTTATTGACGCACATTCATTTGTTTTTTGCTATGGATGGGGAGAAGATGGATAGAAACTGGATGACAAGAATATGATCTTGCTTGGGCTCACAAATCTACGATTTGCACATGTCGGATGGACCCATTGCCGCGGCCGGCTCCAATTTCTCAGCGATATGCCCGTCCATTATTGTATGTCGACCAGCCCTGACCCCGTACCCAAGGCCACTTGCCACTTCTACTTCCGCTTTATTACATCATTCGAAGAATGAAATTTAATGTCATTTCCCTTTTTTTTTTTTTTTTTTTTGCGCCTTTTGAATTGGCGCCCGGGGAAGGTGGTATCCCACACCGTCCCATTTCTCGCATGCTTGGAGGAATGGTTATCAAATGTCCCTGAACCTTACCAAATATGGACTACGGATAACAATTGACTCGCGTGAGGAGCACACCTTCTGTCACTGCTTTGTCGTTAACTAATTCCCTTATCATGTGTGAAATTTTGAAGACCAGGTATAGTACTCTGCTGGGATGCCGGGACTGGCCGTCGTGGTTTCTTGCCATTTGAGTTCGTCCCTGCTTAAACGCCATTCACGGCTATGCTATTGGTTAATATCAATGTCAATATTAATAAAAGTCTCGTCACAATATGTCAAGACAAGACGCCCCTTGGAGTATAGTGTGCATTTTGCCCAGTTTGTATTTGTCGAGAAATATACCAAGAATGCAGTTGTAATATCAATAAAAAGAAGCACAGTTGCAGGAGCGGTTGGTTTGTTGTTCTGCTGAGTGCTGCTTAAAAGCCCCTCCAGATCAGACGAGAAACGAGTTTGGCCTTGAATGAGGTTGGGCGCGTATATTGTCTACGTGCTCGGAGAAGCATTGTGATGTCTTCCTGAGCATTCTGAAAAGGCAAAGACGATAATCCCCGTGACAGTGCGACCAGCTACTTATCTTTTCGTAAAAGTACCACCAGCAAGTTAGCTAATATAGGGACATATGGATAGACATATGAGAATCAAAGATGCAAAGTATGATTTTGTATGTATGTCATGAAACGAACTTCACATGTTATCGACATGGGGAGTTTCGAAAACCCTAAAAATCATGTACGCCAATAAACCCAAATCCTATTTCCATTAAATTTTAAAAAGAAAATCTCGCTCGTTAATGTTAAGGAGCCGCTACGCTATCGATGAAGGAAACCCAAGAGCCACCAAATGACCCAAACTAACGTAGCTTAGATGCGCAACAAAGGAAAGACTAAGCTAAAGATTGTTGAGGAATAAAAGAGCAAGCAACAAGACACGGGGAAGTTTAGGCTATGAGAGTATGGAATGAATGGAAAGAACCTGGGGGAGGCTTGGGCAAGGATGAAATTTCTTTAGTGGTTCAAAGTGTATAACAAAGACAGAGACAAATAGAAAAGGAAAAAGCTTCGCTCTTCGAAAAGCAAGGTATAAGACCAAAAAAAAGGAAGGAAAGAAATATGATAGAATACTTAACAATATCCCGAACAATGCCAAAGTAACACCTCGCTAGTGTGTTCATTATCCAAGCAAAAAAAACATGTGTGTACATCATGGGGGCATACGTAAAACAAAATTCACTGCGCCCTTTCGGCAATCCACAATTGGCATGAGTCTGCCGTAGAGGCGGAAGTCTCGGTGCAAAATGTGTCCAGTAGCCAACTCATGATACAGCTAGTCAGGCGGATGCCGGCAACTTTTTCTCCTCCTTAGTGTCGAACTGCATTGCGGTTGGCGTAGGGGGGTCGAATTTCGGTGTGGAACGACTGGTCTTGAGTGCTTCAAGAGCACGTAGCGGCGACTGGACACTGGAATCTGGGCTCGACAATGATTCAACCAGCTCCCGGATATGGGGTGGCAGGATGACCTCGTAAACCGGCTCAGCATTTCCTTCTTGTGCAGCCGGAGCCTGGGACTGCTGCCGCGATAAGATCTGTTCCGGCTGCTGTTGGTTGGGAGTCTGGGTATGAGGGGTGGCCTCCCTCTGACGCGGCGGTCGTTCTCCTGGTTGCGAAGCTGCCCGTCCTTGCCCTTGACCCTGGCCTCGGCTCTGCGCCCGCGCTTGCTGCGTTGCTTGGAGCTGAGCCTGTGGCTCTTGAGAAGGCGCTCTCGAGTTAGAGTTATGGACAGGGCAATGATGGTCGATGAGGCTGATCATGGCAATGATCTCGTCATCGGGATCTAGGGGAGGCTGCGTATTGTTTAGCGGCGGTGTGCTAAATAACCAATTCGATGCCGAGTTCGTGGACATGACTCGATCGTGCGAAGAAAGGGCCGACGGCGCGTCAGACCGGGAGACCGACTCTCCAGACCGGTTGTTAGAGGTGCGTCTGCCGCGATCTAGGCTATTAGAGACACGGCTGGTATTCGTATTCGGCCGCTGTGTGCTCGGAATGCTAGTGCCGTTTGTTGCGTTGATTTTGGAGAAGGGTTGCCGGCCACGACTGACAGGACGTGACCCTTTCTCCAGACTCGCCCCCGATCCGGTGGAGTTTTGGGATGATTTGCTGTTGTCACGCTTGGGGTCCGGATTTGCGGCGGCAGAGCCCGTACGCTGTGGCTGAGCCGCTTCATGTACGCCTTGCGATTCGGGACGGAAGTAGATTGGCGAGTCGGAACCTCGCAAATGTGACTGGGCCTGGGAATCTTGGCGGAACAAGCTGGGGCTTGCCAATATTGGAATTGACATGCGCGAGACGCTCAAACGCCGTAAGTCGCTTGGGCCATTAAAAGCTTGAGGCACCCTAGGGAGGCTTGCGTTGCGCGATTTTGTAGATGGGGGTCGGTTAGGTAGATCAGCCTGCACAGGCGATGGCTGCCTCTCGTTGTTTTTATTCAAATGCTCAAACTTTTGGCGAATCTCATTCGTCATCTGGGTTTGCATCTCAAGCTGTGATGACGGGTCTCCCACGAGAATGTCTTCAAGCCTGTCAGGGTCATACCCAGAGTCTCCAATAATGTCGCTGTCCGACCTTTTCAGGTTACGCAAGGCCTGTTCCCACAACTCATCGTTCGTCATGAACTGCCGAGCTGACGTCGCGGGCCCAGGACCTACCGACGCAGACACGGATAACTTTGTCCGGTCCGACTGTCTGGCGATAGACTCTGCTTTTGCGTGAATAACACTGCCATACTCTCTCTTGTCGCTGCTGCTTTTTCCACGGTTGCTCCCCGGTGCCTGGCCTTTCTTGTTGGACGATGTACTGCCCTTGAAATTGGATGAGCCAGTTCTGGCGCTTTCCTTTTCTGATGGCGGCGAGGGTGGTGCTTCAGAGATAGGGGTCGGCCCACGACCTTTCCCTTTAGCGCCAACTCGTAAAGGTGGCGTTATGGGTGTGTCGGCTCGGCTTACTTTGACAGCACCTCCTCCGCCCCGTCTGTTGACAGAAGAAGGTATGACATCTTTCTTTCCGGGAACCGGCGGCTTTTTATCCGGCAAGTTGAAGGTGGGCCTCATGGACATGGGCGTCGGGCTTGGGGCAGTGGGCGTGGGGATATCGTTTTCAACCGCGGAAGGCGACTTGCCCTCTTGGTCACGGGTGGTGGCGCTTCCAGGGCCCTTTGCCTTCCGAAGAGGCAAGGGAAACTCATGGCCATTTGGAATATGTAATTCCAGCTTCGGTGCAAGGTTTCTCGATGGCTGGGGACCAGATTGAGAATATGAGCTGGGAGCGGAACCATGTGACGCTGCGGTCGACGTTATTTCCCACGCATCATCAATATCTTCAATCGGCGTTGGGGTATAATCGTCATCATACTCGCCCGAGCGACCAAACTCTCGAAAGGGGTGAAACGCTCTTTTCAAAGGAAAAGGGGTTGGTTTACGCGATTCAGTCGAGGTGGATCCGGCAATGCTTTCATTTGAGTCGCGGTCGCGGTCTTTCGCCGTGTCTGCTTCTGACTTGCGGCCGTGATTGGTTCGGAGCAACTTCGCGAAGGGGGCCTTTTCTGTGTCGACTACGAGCAACTCTTTGACGCCGCGACCGAGGACACCATAGAGGTTGACTTCACCGTTCTTGATGCCGAGAACTGTGCTGGTGCCTGCGTAGACCGCGTCACGTTCAGTGCCAGAACGATTGCAAAGGACCACAATAATTTCTTCTTCAGACTCTTTTCTGATTATGGGTTCGAGACGCTGCACCCAATATTCCAGAGTCGGAAAGTCTGGCTCTTGCGGTAGTTGCGAGAATGTATGAGCACTCTCACGAGTCAGCCAAGACATGGTGAGAATGACGAGGTTGGCCTGCACCTCAAGGATATGATAGGCAAACTCGAAGGCATTCCACGGCGCTTCGAATCTATATGGACTAAACAATTACGTTAGTAAAGTACCATCCTTGCAAAACTGCAGTTATCGTAACACGTGTCGAACTTATTGAAACGTACTTGAGGTCCATGCCTGCGACACGTCGATGTTAGCAAAATGTATGCGTCTTTCAATAAGAGGACGTGTGTGGCAGGGATGCCAAAGTCCACAGAGAGGGGAGAACTTACAGATACCCATCGCAACATCGCCAAGACCTTCAACATATCCGTCGAAGAAGCCATCTTGGCCTTCAAGTGCCCAGGTCTCGTCGACGGCATAGAGAAAGGACTTGCGGTAGTTGGCTATTGTTTCGCCGTCTTGGTTCACGATGATTGCAGAATTATAGAATTCAGGAGAGGTAGGCCACTTTTGGGCGACGTCAACCTTCTCTGGATACCCAACGACAACGTTGCAGTTCCACTTGAGGGCTGTCGTGCGCGCCCACAAGGCACTGATGCCTGAGCCAGATGGTTCCAAATAGGGACTGATCTCGGCCAAGGACCGAAAATTGTAGCCTGTGAAACGTCAGAACAAGAATTTGTGAAAAGTGCAAAAGGACAGAGGAGAGGGGACAAAATGGTGCTCTCCGTCCAGGGAGAATACAACGTACCAGAAAACGCCAACTCGGGGAGCACAAGAAGATCCAGTCCGTCAACGTCATGCGCCTTGTTCAAGACAGCGTCTGCCCGGTTCAGGTTGTTGTCGACATCCCCGACCTGCGGGGAGAACTGTAAACAACCAATTCTCATATTGCCGTGATTTTGAATAACACGATGGCCCGTAGAATGGCATTAACAGATCGGTTGCGTATGCAGTGCCGGTTGGCTTGATGGCGGCGGAAACGGGTGCGGAGAGCAAGAAGGAGTCGAGAGCGTGTTCTGTTGTTGGGCGGTGGTGGTGGCGGCGGCAGCGGCAGACAATATATCGTCGAGGAAGAGAGACGGTACTAACGAAGGCTAGTGAAGAAGACCAAACACTGAAAAAAGGAGGCGGAAGCAAAAGTGACTTTGTCTCTGTGACCTTTTGAGAAAATCGTTTCTCGTCGGAAGAAGCTCGCTCGCGACAACGCCACGCAGACCGCACAAACCGCACAAACCACGACCAACAGGCGACGAAGTGAGGATTGTCACCGTGAGAACGGAGGCTCAAGACAAAGCAAACAGGATGAGAGATGAAAGAAAAGGACAAGAGAAGACGGAAGCCCGAGATTCTCGTGATATGGTGACTGATAAAAGAAGTGGAAAGATGTAGTACAGAACAAAAATAGATTGAAGAAAGAAAAGAGGGTAGAGTGGGGAGAAAAGATGCCCCTAGCAAAGGCGCCGGTATTGGGGTGATGGCTTGGAGAATGGTGAGTCTAATTGAGAGATACGGAGAATGAAGGGGGACGAAAGACGAGGACGACAGAGGAGCAAGGCAGGCGTGAGAGGTAAAAAGGTGCGCTTTCCACTTTGGGGGCCAGCGGCTAAGCAATCTTCGTGGATGGCTGGACTATGCAAGCGGCAACAGAATGGCTCGCCAAGGTAAGACCGCTTCAGCGCGCTCGCTGAGTCGAAAGCGGAAGGCGTCAGGGCCACGAATTATGCTAAAATTGTTCAGTAAATATGTAGTAGTTTTGCTGAGTGCAGGGCTCGAATTCAGTCCCCAGAGCGGCGTCTGCCTACGTGGTAATACAGACCGTTGAACCCTCTTCACCTCACGAAAACTTTGGCACATGTCCCCAGTTGACAAGGAGCAGATGCTGCGATTCACAAAGACGTCACAATCTGGTCTGTGAACCGTCACCCCCCTTCATTTTACAGAGAATTCGCTTCCATATTGGAACACTTCAGAGTTCGACGTACACTCTATGTAGACGTACCCAGTGCACACCGCACAGCGCTGGGGTATGTTGGGCGAACCAGGCGGAGTTGTATCGAATGTACGAATTACGGAGGGTAATACATTGTGTCGCACAAACATATGTGATAACGAACCAGAGGCCGTTGAACAGAGGCAAGGTGGGGCTACCACACCAAAATAGATCCATGATAGCAGGAGATTGGTGGTTGGGGCAAGGGCAGTGGCGGGGGTGCTTTATGGGAAGGAAGGCGCAAACAGGTAATAATGGGATATCGTGCGCCTGACCTTGGTCGCAGTTCAGAAAGGGAATTGGGCCACGATGCGTTTTTTTGCACCTCCTGCCCCCTCGCTTCTGCAGGCGATGTACCAAGGTTTCTCGTTTCCCCCTCTTCTGTCCCGCTTCTTCCCTTTTTGCAAGGGTAGATGAACACGTGCCTTACGTTTCCGGCGAAGTTGTCGCCTGAATCTCGCGTCGATACATATCCAACACCACAGTTCCACGACAGGCTCCCATAAATTATGTCTCCCTCTTGCGGCGAGCCTTTTTCGAATGGGATGAGCTCTTGCGATGTTTTGCATCCCAACGCATGTAATTGAGTACAAAACCATGATGTCCCTATTTGCCTGTCAAACCCCTATTCTTGTCTGAGCATCTTGTCGGTGCCGCGTTGATAACCTCATCAGAGAGAACAGACTCGAGATTCTGTGCAAATCTTCGACGTATTATTGGCTTCCGTCTTTAGCCGCCGTTGTGGGGGGGGGGAGTGCATTGGCCAAGTTATCCAGGCCAATAAAAACCAGTATAGGGTGATCCCGTCTTTGAACAATCACGACCATGACAACACTCGCTGACAACTCTCTCTCATGTCACTTTCAACCTCTGGTGCCGCCGATTGTAGGCGCCTTTCAAGGTATTTGGCGGTAAGTATCCTCCAAAAAGGCCGTGTCTGTTCCCGTTGGTCCTCAAATGGCCACATCGGACAAAATGGCCCCGAAAATTCGGATCCGAATATGCAATAAAAGTAAGACGCGCAGGTGGCAAGAGGGCACCTGACCAAATACGGTACAGGGGCATTTTTGGTTCGGTATCTGAGCAAGGCTCGCGTGAGTTGGCGGTTATCTTGTTGGGGCTATTGAATGCTTTGACAGGTCGCTCCTCGTGTTTGTTTTATGTGCTGTCAGCGTGTTGGTGTCAGGGGGTCTGAGTGGTAATATGTTGGCGCGTCTTTCTCGTCGTCCAACTGATGCGTATCATCAAGCGCTAGAAAAAGTGCCATGCCTGATGATGTCGGGTTCTGAAGAGTTCTTCCAGCTTTCCTTTGCCCTCTCAGTCGTATTAACGCCCAGAACAAAGGCTGCAGGAACACGAAGTGGCGGTGAGTATTTTCTATGTCCTATGTTTCCAAGGAACCACGCCGAAACCACACAGCTCTGACGCCATACCTTTCTCAATAGCCGCCGCATGTTAGATACCGACTGAGATCATCAAGTATGAATCCGCACGAAGGTCGAAATATTGAATACCCGACTACGGATTTATGTGGATAGAACAATGGAAGAAGGTACCAGCATCGGCGAACATGAGAAAACCATCAGTCTACATTCATTTACGTTTTGCTATCCTGTGGAATAAACCATGACAACATGAATAAAAAGTATAAGAAATGTTCTTATTAACACAGGCTGACCGTGATTCTACTCATTATTCTGCCGCTGTAGCAGCACGTAGCGGCATCTATTCTTTTCCATGCAGATGAGAAAGCATGCACATTTCCCAACCCCTTACAAAAACAAAAACGTCTGTATTTTATAAAACTGCTCATACCACTCAGCAGTCACAAGTCTGGACAATCCCGGGCCCAGCAGATGCAAGAGAAACATTTGGAAGGAGAGAGTTGACAGAGTCCCAACCGTACCAAGCTTCCATGGTTCTGTCGGGGCTATGAATGACGTTGTTAGCAGGCGCTGTCACTATTGTCTCGAAAGAAGATGAATCCCCTTACCTAATCAGAGTGGCCACAGCAGAATCAGTCTTCTCATCGTATCCCCAAGAGAAGTACCAGTCACCTTCCTGGCACTGCTCAGTAGACCAGCTTGCAAACATGGGCTCAACGTCCTCGTCAAGGTCGACCTTGATGTGACATGGGATGGGTTCCTGGTATTCGGGGAGAACCTCAATTTGAAACCCAATCACGACGGCGTTGGGCCCGTACGAGACAGCTGTGACGCGGTTAGTATATTATGGGACAACGTTGGAGCTTTGAACATGCAGAAACACACCTCTTGTAACATTGTGGAGGCTCCATGTGACAGGAATCTCTGGAACCGTGGGCAAACCATCACTGTAGATAGGACTACTGGTGACTGGTCTCACAGAGATGTCATCGCTGTCATTGTCATCGCCACCTCCTTGGACACTCCCAAGTTGTTCTGGAATGGCATCTTGGACGGTCTCAAGAGGAGAGTCTGTCGCATTCGCAGATACAGAGACCGTAACATTGGCAGGCAAACCAGAAAGTGTATCAACGGCGTCTGTCTCTTGGGCGGAAGAAATGTCTTCGGGGTTGGTTTTGTCTTGGGATGTAAAATCATTGCCGTTGGAGACATCGGTCATGCCACTGTCATGGAGAACGGCATCCTGGATGGTTGTATCAATGGGCACGCCCGGGTCGGAACCATCGCTGCTGGGATTAATGCCGGTTGGCTCAGTAGTAATCTGGGTATCGACAGGAGAAACACCAGCGTCTTCGATGGCATAGACCTGCGAAGCACCGTTCTCGTATAGTGGATACATTTCTGGAGCATTGGATACATGGTCCTCAACATTAGCAGATTCCCCGGACGAATCAGTCGTGGCAATACCAAGATCGGCAATGTCCGGGACTTCGTCGCGTGTGTGAATTTGCGGGAGAATGATCGCTTCAGACACTGCAGATGGAACAACAACGTAGGCGGGGGAACGATGGGTTGAAGAAAAGCTGCCATCCACCAGTTCACTGTCTGGGATGTCAAAGTATCCGCGGCGGTTGTTGCTCGCGTCGTCAACGGTGAAGACCATGTAGCCGTTGTCGCTCCAGCTGGCTCCACAGCGGTAGTTGTTCATCTCTTCGCAGGGAACATCAATGAAGGGACTTCTGACGGCGCCCTTGTCGTCCTCTCCGTGTATGACAAAATGGCAGAAAGACGGGGCCGTGGGCGGGCCAGCTGAGGACTCTTGCGCGATGGTGAAGCCGTAGACACACATGTTGTCATCATTGGAACAGTCCCAATGGAAGCCCCGGATTGTCCATTCAGCAAAGCCATCCCTCTTGGCTAAGGGTGCGGCCTGGACACCACTCTATAGCTGCCCAAGGACGAGGGCCACTGGCAGGAGGCGAGAAAGCATGGCGATAGTGATCAAATGAAGATGGCCGTGAGGTAAAGTTGCAGATGCTGACGGTAGTGTAAACGTTCATGTGCTTCAAGAAGAATGGACAAGCAATATAAAGATTGGGAAAGCGGCGTGAGGGATAAAGTGAACATGTTACTTGAAGATGCAAAGGCCAAAGTTCCAAGTTCAAGGGGCAGAGTTAGATCCATGTTTTTTGTTTATTTTGACAATCCGAGCCGCCCAGTGATCATCTTTAAGGGTTTCCACAAGGAAAGAGTGCTTTTCTGCTCTTATTTCTCCTTACGGAAAGGAACTGCAGCTATTTATCGTGGTTTCCTCCTGCTATTATTCCAATGACCGCCTCTCCAGATGGTGCGACCTCAAAAGTCGCTGCTTCCAAGATAGGAATTTTTTATCTCTATCTCAAGACCCATCAACCTGATTCTTCTGGGCAACTCATACGCGCGAAAGTTTTTCGTCTTGCCTCCATAGGATGGCAACGATGTAAAGCTCCTTCCCACCGTCCTTGGAGTTGGTCTGGAGGGGGAAAGTCCACATCCACAGACCCCTTTCCAATTCTAGAAAAGAACTAAATATGGAGGGAAAGAACTTGACTAATGGCGTGATCAAATCGAGAAGCGCGTTCGTCCTTCCCATGTTGCAAAACATATGCTTCGCGCTTTCTTTTTTTGTAAATTAGGCACGGGACTCCTGAGAATACGCGCGGGAATATGTCTGTGTCGCATTGGATGCCACCTTCCATTCAAGCAGAGAACGACTTTCCATCTCCGGAATATGGTCGCTCGCTGCAAGGAAAGAGCATCCCATCACAGAACTGGTCACATCTGGGTCGACCTTAGCGTCCTTGCGCGGCAATTCCACCTGTAAACATCGACCACGACTGGGAAGGTGCGACGGAAGAGGCAGCACAGCAACTCTTCAAGGAAAGAGCCATATTTTTCGACTCGAACACATTGGGCCGTCACCCAGATTGAATTTCCGTTTCCTGATCACCGCATGCTTCATCTGCGGAGTATGTCGTCTGCCTTGCCCATGTCCATATTGTGGGCAGCTTCAACATCAAAAGGACCCTCAGAAGAAGCCACAATGCCGCCTTCATCCCACCGAAAGAATTTGGAGGGCGGTAAGATCCCTGTCAACTGGCCCGGTCTCTCTTGAGTGGTGTTATTGATTGGTTGAATGAACAACCATCCACCCTGGTCGCATTAATGGGCCGGCGTCTAAACTGCACATATGGACTGTTTCTCTACTTGGTAGACACGACAGACACAGGCCAAAGACAAGCAAATAACACTCAGGACAAAACCAAACAAAAGGAGCGCCGCACACACACTCCTCCCTGTCTCTTGCAAAAAAAGCAATCTTGTGGATCGCGTCGACATCCTACGGGCGACCAATGGCGAGTAGATCAGAAAGAGGATGACCCACTCCTGTTGGCCACAGACCAATCATGGGACCGCCTTGCAGCCTTAACTCTGGGAGGATGAGATGCCCTCCATCTTTTCTGTCGATAGATGGGTGACACAGGCGCCTACGGACTACACCAGTGCATACCGGCAGGAGAGAGATGGCTCTTCTGCTGTGAGTTTTCCAGCAGGCAAAGCTCTTTTCGAACTTTCATGTGGCTGGGCGACCAGGATGCTGCAGGTTTTTCCGCGGCCTGTTGGTCGGACTCTCCACTTATTTGCAGGTGCTTCAATGCCCGTCGGGCGTGCGAAGCTACATTTGTTGATGGGCACATCATGACAGCCTTGGTGCTCAAGCGCCGCTGCTCTTTGCAGCTGAGTATTGCTGGAGGAAGTTCGCAATGACCGAAGAAAAAGGAGCGATCGCCTCCTACTTGGTTAAACTTGATTTTCAATGTTTCTCTCTCTTCTGATATATGTTTGTTTCCTTTAATCTCGAAACATTTTTGGAGTATTTCTCGTCAACCTCTGTGTACAGCATTAATCTCGTCTTTGAACAGTTCCTGTCTTTTCTTTTCTTTTCATTCCCCTTGGCATGAATTGGCTGCTGTCATGATTCTATTCCTGCTTTGCTGAGTTCATTTGCCGCCTCGGCCTCGTCGTCATACTTTTTTCGCTACTTTCTCCTTCTCATTATCTCCTATTTTACGATACAAACACAAGTCGATCTCTTTTGCTAAAGACACGTCTTGAATTTCTAAGTGCCTTCAACATGAAGCCGTCATCTACTCCATCAAGGGCATTGGGCCTGTTTTCAGCCATCGCTGTTCTGTTCACGGGCACCTCCAGCGCCCTCCGGGTCACGCCTGGATCCGCGTGTGCTTCATATTGCCTCGATAATGGGGACAACAACGGCCAGTCCGCCAACTCGACGACAACCCCTTCTGACATTGTTTGCAACGATACCGATTACTGGTCCACGACGGTCGGAACCAGGTACAGAAACTGCCTTACATGCCTCCAGAACAGTACGGCTGTTAATGGATTACAAAGCGACGTGGAATGGTACTTGTGTAAGTCATTATTCTCTGCTATTCTCGAAACAGAAAAGAACAGTCACTCATTTTAAACACTAGACAACGTCCGCTATGCCGTCGACGTATGCCTTTTCTCATCGCCGGGCCCAAGCTCCTCCAACTCCTCAACATCTTCACCATGTGTTCTGTCAGGCAACTGTCCTTCACTGCAGAAAGCACTGGATACCGGAAACGTGAACCCGAGCAACGAGACACAGTACCAGTATTGTACCGCGGACGGCGGTGTATTCGGAGGGACGACTCTGAGCAACTGCGCCCAGTGCTTGCAAACCAACTCGGAGCAGACATACCTCTCAAACTGTACGTACTTACCGTTGCCCTGGTCTCTCTTTCTGATCTTTAATACTAAAATCCTTTTCAGTCTTGACGGCCCTCTCCGCAGGCTGTAAGCAGAAGCCTCCCCAAGGTGATCTTTTGGGACTTAATGGAACCTTATTTTCCACGACGGCCATGACCATCGTTACTCCGTCTTGGAACCAGACCAGTCCTGGCCAAGCTACATCGGTCACAAAGTTGACGACGGGAACGATTGTCGGCATTGTGGTCGCTGGTGCGCTTCTTCTGCTTAGCGCTGCAGTCCTGTTTTTCCTTCATTGGAGAAAGCAACGGGTTGCTAAAATGGAACCATTTTATGACGACCGGTATGGCAGTGACCAATTTCGTCCCGTCAAGAGCATCTCATCGTCGTTCAGCGGAGGCACTGCGCCCATGTATACAACTGACTACAAGTCGCCTCCGGCGGACCGGCGCAACTTCGAGCTGTATGACAAAATTAAGACGCAACACGTGGTCATCCCCGAAAGAAAACCCTATGAACCTGGAACTGCGGGACAGAGAACGGCAGCACTTTGGGGCCGCGACACACCCGTTCCAACTCGCCAACAGTTGCTCTCGCCAAAGACAGCCAACACATCCATGTCTCAGCACACTGCCGGTGGTGATGTAAACGGGCCGTTGGATGGCATGCCCACCCACCCGGCTTTCATCCCGCGAGCATTTACGCGTGCAAGCCGCAATCCCATGGCCCAGCCGGAGCCAAAGCATGGTGTAAAGGCGAGCAAGCCGGACACCTATGCTCTTCAGCGCTACTTGGATACAGTCGAAGACTTGTCAAAGGTGGATGTTGAGACGTTGCTCTCGGAGCCTCCTGCTGCAAATGCGCAAAACACACGCACTACAACTGTCACTGTGACGTCCAACCCGTTTGCAACCCCCGAGGCGACACCGATGCGCGTTCCCCCGCCGCCGCCAGGCCCACCACCGCAGTCAAAGCCGAAGGCGAACTCCAGCTCTAAGCTGACACCATCGCTCGCGACACCGCCTTCATTGAGTCGCATTCGCAGTCCGAAGATGTACATCCCACCGCCCCTGAACATCACCCCGGCCAGGCCCAAGGCACAGCGTGTGGATTCGGATTCGGACGAGCCCAAGTAAGGCGGGAAAAGGGGCATTGGAAAGCGGATTTACTGTCATTTTTTTTGTTTGTACTTGTTTTGGGCCGGCTTAATTGTTTGCTTGTATTTTATTTACTCTGATGGGATTGCCACGGCAGGCTGTTCTCTGGATCTGGGCGTTTCAAGGGGTTTTGGATATGGATACGCATTTAATGAACATCAATGGGTATACTGGTGCTTTGGCTTTGCATGTCCCTTACTAGCAAGGGCAGGAACTTTGCAAACGGGCTGGCACACTGAATATCACTAAACATCTTTGTAACAAATTGTATCGAATAATTCGAATATCATTATTGAAGAAAGAAGCAACAAAAAGGCTGGACACGCTGACTGATAGTACAGAAGGGATGTATGAGAGGTTTAAAGTGGCATTTGAATTGGACCAATACAATATTCACACCATCTGGTAAAAAAGATCGTCCTCCGAGTCTTTAACTCTAGTCACCGCCGAGGCGGTTGCCCTTGCCGCGTGTCTTCCACGCATCCGGCAGAGGGCCACCCGTGGATGCACCAGTGCCGCTCCCCGACTCGGTAGGTGGACGGAAGGAATGGCCGAAGCCGTGGTCCTCCACACGGCCCGGCGTGGGGACAAGGCGCGACATGAAGGCCGGCGTGGGTAGCAGGTTGGAGCCGCCGCCAAACTCGGGCCATAGACGGGTCAAGAAGTCGTACAGATGCGCGGCGACGAGGCCGCACAGCTGCAACAGCGCAACCTGGGGCCCTGCGACGAGCAGCGACACCAGCATCATGCTGTAGGGCACGAGCTGCGCGGGGATGGTGATGAAAAAGAAGTTGGCCTTTTGGCCGCGCTGGTCCTGGGTGCAGGTGTAGGCGAGGCCCAAAATAAGACCCTGGAGATGGAAGCCCGAGTTGAGGCCAGCCAGGTAGTCGAAGAGCTGCGCTTGTTAGTCGAAACTGGCCAACGCCAAAGGACACGAGCAGACGAAGCAAAACGTAAAAAACGATAAATAACGTGAAAAAAAAACCCAGTTGGTGTTGGTATGTAGGGCGCTAAAAAAACCACCCGGGGGCCATGGGACGGCCCCGCGAGTCATCCATAAGACATCCCACCCATGTCCAGAGCCCCGGACCAACCCTCTTATATATATGCGAATGACGGGCCGACCAAAGCTCTGGGGGTACTCTCCCTCATTTCCAGGAACCGTGATAGTAGTGGGGTCAAAATGTAGCACTATCCGGGCAGATATATGAGGTGCACAATGTGCAGAGGGAAGGGAAATACAAATGCAGAGGGGCACAGGGAGATATCCGAGGCGGTAAACGTACCAACACAGCGACCCCGATAAAGGCCATGTACCAGATCAAGTCCTCACGCCGCGAGAAGCGCGCATTCCCGACCTCCAGCTGCGAGAGGTAGGAATAGAGGAAGTACGGGTCCAGCAGGATCGACAGACCCGGCAACGTGACCATGTAGGTGGTCACAATCCGCCATGGTTCCGGGAACAGCTTGAACACGGCCAAGGGGTGGAAGTACAACCAGCGGCCTGGAAGAAAGCCGAGGTGGACGGTGACGGAGGTAGCGAGGACGGCCGTAGCGACAGTTCTACGAGACGCGGAATGTCAGCAACGGAAGCTTGATTTGATACGAACAAGCGGCGATCCAAGCAGGAGAGGACGGCGAAACCTACCTGGCCACTGGGGGCGTCCGCCAGTATGCGTCCTTCAACTCATCCATTGCGTCGTAGCGGTATTTCGACCCGACGGCAATGTGTAGAGGATGTGATTTGGGCTGATGGAGAGAAGAGAGGTTGCGTAAAGAAATGGGTCGATCACGAAAAGACACGGACGAGTTTTTGGCAATCCAGTTTAGTTTCGAAATGGGGAGAGAAGTGGACGTGGCAGGAAAACGAAACTTGGTCTAGTTCATCGAGGGCAGAAGAACCCCGAGCCAGCAGCAGGCTGCCGTGATGACGATGCTGTCATTCTTGGGGGGAAGAATTGAAGGGGAAGGGGAGGGGGAGAGTGAGAAGCTGCCGAACGGGAATCGTCCGACAAATTAATCTCGGCCGCGGAGGGAAAGAGGGACCAAGAGAGTGTGTTCTGTAAATGTGTTCTTTTTCTTCCAGGCAGGGGCAAAGAGAGGAAGGAACGAGGGAAGCACACCGAATGCGCCGCAGTGCTTTATAATTTTTTTTAGCGGGTAACTTGCAGCGACCCACAGGGGCAGTTGAGCCACAGTATCATCTCCTTGGCTGTGGCTGGGCTTACGCGATGCTGATTGGCTGGACGGCGACCAAAATTTGGGAGCTATGGAAAAAAAAGCGTCAATGGAGAGCCATTGTGAGGGCATCGCGAGACCACCCGCATCGGCGACACTGCTGCGTTTCAAGCCACCCACGGGCCCGATTTCGACGCCAGGGTATCCAGGCAACCACACCACTATACATTGCCGATATATAGTTGTCATACAACCCTAACTCCCGCTCTCCCCTCACAACGACCACAATGGGGGCGGTCGTGAACGGCTCGAGGCGGCTGCTCACACGGTCCTCGACGAGCCTCGCCCTCCTCCCGGCCCGGCCAAGGTCGACCACGGTCGCGGGCCTGACTGCGGCACACCTCTCTGCGACTCCCACCTCCTCCTACGCCTCCGCCTTCTTCTCCACAACCGCCGTCCAGGCCAAGGGCCCCGTGCAGCACATCCGCAGCGGCAAGCAGGTCCAGAATGTCCGCAAGAAGAGACAGGTGGCGCACAGCGGCAAGCCTATCCTGCCCGGCGAGCGCAAGGCATACCGGAAGCGGATTGTGCTGAGCAACAGCAATGCGCTCGAGGTGCACGGTCTGGAGGAGCTGACGGCGGAACACCTGGTGCCGTCGTCTTCATCGTCATCATCATCATCAGAATCAATAGAGGAAGTCCAAAATGCCAACACGGGCCGCATGCTGGCGCTCCCCGACACCGTTGTCGACAAGCTGCGCGCCATTGAGGCGTTCAAGGCGACGCAAAACTTCCACCTGTTCCGGCGGCCGAGTCTGTTGCTCCGCAGCGAGGCGGCCGCGCTGGCCGACCGGCTGCAGCGCGACGTGGCCGGCAACAAGCAGACGGTCCGGCTTGTGATTGACGGCGAGCGCATCACCGGCAAGTCAACGCTGCTGATGCAGGCCGCCGCGCAGGGCTTCCTCAACGGCTGGCTGGTTGTCAGCATCCCCGAGGCCCAGGAGCTGACGACGGCGTGCACCGAGTACGCGCCCGTGCCCAACACGAGCCCGCTGCAGTTCACGCAGCCCAACTACACGCTGCGTCTGCTGCAGGCCGTGCTCGCCGCCAACGGCGACCTGCTCACCAAGTACACCACGTCGCGCGCCTACGACGACCTCGTCAACCCCGTGGCCGCCGGCAGCACCCTGCACGACCTGGTGTCGGCCGCCAAGGAGCCCGACCACGCCTGGCCCGTCTTCCAGGCCCTGTGGGCCGAGCTGTGCGACCCGAGCACCACCACGCTGCCGCGCCCGCCCGTCCTGTTTACGCTCGACGGCCTCGCCCACATTATGCGCGTCAGCGACTACCGCGCGCCCAACTTTGAGCGGATCCACTCACATGATCTGCTGCTCGTGCGCGCCTTCGTCGACGCCCTCGGCGGCGCCACCCCGTTCCCCCACGGCGCGGCCATTTTGGCGGCCACGACGCGCAACAACGCGCCGCTCAACCCGACCATGGACTTGGCCATCCGGCAGCGGCTGGCCGAGCAGAGCAAGGCGGACGACATCCCGCAGCCGGAGCCGTTCTTCCGCCACTACGACGACCGCGTGTCGGCCGCGCTGAAGACGGTCGAGGCGCTGGAGCTCAAGGGCCTGAACAGGACCGAGAGCCGCGCGCTGCTCGAGTACTGGGCGGCGAGCGGTGTGCTGCGGGAGCGCGTGGACGAGGGCCAGGTCGCGCAGGCCATGATTCTGTCCGGCAACGGCGTGGTGGGCGAGATGGAGCGGGCGTATCTGCTGAGCCTGCGGGTGTAAGACGTATTGGATTGGAATGGGTGATGTGCTGAGGAAGACGAAAATACAACTGTATCATAGTATATCAAAACAAAAGCAACCTTCATCTTCATGTTTTCCTCGGCATAAAACAAGTGGCATAAGCGGGGGCTGCTAAAAAGCCAATTCTTTGAAATACGTATCATTTGATCCCCCTTTCGCGGTCATCGTCCTTCCCTCCCTCCCCCTGTATATATTTGATTTGCTTCCCAAAACGCCGGGCCTTTTGAAGAAAAAGACAGCAGGACAACACAAAACCTGGACATTACATAAAAGCATTATATGAACAAAAAAAATATGGAAACCAAAAAGACACAGCCACGGTTACTCGTCGTCCTCCATGTCGTCTTCGGCGTCGTTGGACGTGATAAAGACAAGCCGGCTCATGTTACCGGCCGTCTGCCACACGTCGACCGCCGCGTACTCCTCCAGCGCCGTCAGCCACTGGTCCTCCGTGAAGCCCTTGGCAATGACCCGCTCCTTGACGCGGCGCAGGCTCAGCTCCACACCGCGACCACCACGCACCATGTCGTCGTCATCGTCGTCGTCGCCGTCGTCGCTGTCGTTGCGGTCCGGCCGGCACGCGCCCGTGTCCGCCAGCGACTTGACAAAGTTGTAGATGCGGCTGCTGGCGTTGGTGCCACGGCGGCCGGCACCGGGGCCGGCGCCACCGATGATCTCGGCGTTCAGGCTCTCCTTGCTGGCCTCGATGAGCCGCAGCGCCTCGTCGACGTCGTAGCGGTCGACGGCGTCGCTGAACCGCAGACGCGCCAGCGCCTGGGCCAGGCGCACGACACCCAGCAGCGTACGCGGGGTCGTGTGCGTGAACTGCTTGCCGCGCTTCTCGGCGCGTTTTTGCTGGTCGCGCATGCGCACGTACGACTTGACCATGTACTCGGACACCTCCTCGGGCACGACGGGGCGGAACGTGCGCGCGCGGGCCACGTACGCGCGCACCTCGTGCGGCGTGAACACGACCTCGTCGGC